CTTTTTCTTCAAGTAAAATACTATAATAAAGTATTTACTCTCAATATATTTTTGTTAAAATATATTTACTCAATATTTAAAGCTATTATAATACATATACTGTATTATATTCATTAATAATACTTTTAGAACCTTTATAAGATGTATAAGAATTATCTTTACTTTATAACCTTATTAAAATTCTTACAGTTACTATATAATTTATAGATAATGTGTATTCTACTATATAAGAACTATAAAGCTATATAAGAAAATGGACTTTTCCCTGACATGCACGCAATTTTCCACATGTATGTTCTCTATAAAGAATCATTGCTATTAGGATATATTATGATACACTTATATTATGATACACTTCTTGTTATACACTTATAGCTATGATTTGCATTTGGTTGAACAATGGTATATATTGTCAACCATAGCTGTGTTACAAGCAATGTCTTTTATTACTTAAGTACTATAGTACTTTACAGTATGCTGAGTTCGAAATATAACTCCAATTAAATTATCCAGTACTGTTATCTAGCCACCCTCGTTCTTTTTCTTCTTTATAGTTTTATCTGGAGTATGCCACTTGCAGAACTCTCTGTTGTTTAATATCTTTTCTTTTGATGCAGTCAGGTACCACTGGAATAGAGAGCAGGTCATAAATATTGACACACATCTTTGAGAGCAAATTCAAGCTCTTGGGATAGACAACAGCATACCTGATAGACCTGCTGATCTAATGCACTGTGTGCACTTGGCCTGACTTCTACTTTTGGTAGAAGGTTACTCATAAGATGAAGAGCTTCATTTATTAGATAACAGAATGGTTGATCAGCTCATACAGTCTACAAAGCCATCAAAGATAATTAATATTATTACCATTGGGTGAAATATGTCTGTATTGTGGTTTGCGAAAGTCAAATTCCATTTGCTTAATTTCATCCATCATTGCAATTTCGTCTTTAGTCTGGCTCCACGGAACATATCCGGTGAATATTATATGCATCATTATTCTACCCAGTAAATTCAAAAGTCATCAGTAGTGTAGTTGTAAGACGAAATCGGTGCAAAGTAAACTAAGGATGCTGTCTCTCATTACTCACCCTGTGGCCCACAGGTCGCCTCCTTTCCCGACCTGGCCAGTCACAATTGCTTCAGGAGGAAAATACTTCGGAGTCCCGGCATACAGGAACTCGACTGTCTCGCCCGACCCGAGCTCAGAAGCACTGTATAACAATAAACATGAAGGGATTATCTAATTCAACAGTAACTCACATGCCAAAGTCAGCTAGTGCTGCATCCCACTTAAATGTGTCATGATGCCTGCTGCTCTTTCGTTTCAGGAGAATGTTTGCTGGTCTTTCATGTACGTATAAAATTAAAGGGCAGAGTTAGAAATATTAGAATTTGGGGAAATTCTAAAACATACTTGATGTCTCTGTGAATAATTCCTTTATAGTGCAAGTACTCAAGTCCAGTCAGTGTACCCCTATTGGAACGATAGCATCAAGTATTCTAATTAGAACTTGGAAAAATATTAAAAGTAGCTTAGAATCTCTTACTTTATAATCTCCATTGCATCATCCTCGGAGTAATGTTCGTGTGTGAGTAAGTACGTGCGTACACTACCCCCTTCAGCAAGCTCAAATACATAACAAGGGTGTCCAGTACCCGGATCCCAATAAGAGTATAAGTACATAATCTATGCAAGGTATGCATTGTTAGGTATAGCACTTTCTGCGCTTCTTTAACTTACAATGTTAGGATGATACAGTAATAATTCATTAATTTCACGTTCGCGATCGAATACGACTTTGTCAAAAGTGATGGGAAAGAACCTTTTTATTGCCACTACATTTCCAGTTTTAACATGTTTGCCTTTCTACAAGTGTTAAACAGGTGAATAAGACGAATGTAATAGACCGGATATTGGCTTGACTCACAAATACTCTGGCATATTTTCCAGATCCAAGTCTTGTTGACTCGTCAATCTTGTATTGATAGTTATGGTCATGATGACTGGTCCCAGATTCTCTCCTGCTTGACATACCTTTGTGACAGACAATAAATGCTCAGACTGAACACACACCAACAGCTGTCAATAAATAGGAAGTAAACATTAAGTTTGCTCTTTTGAATTCACTGTTGCCACATCTCAAAACTGGTATTATGTTTCAGCCTTGTGTTTCAGCCTTGCAAAGTACAACCCAATAATAATTCCATTTATATCTCTCAGTAAAGGCCAAGTCCTACAGTGTTACTACTGAGTATGAGTACATGTAACACAAGCTAACAGTTTGTTACATTAAAGAATAACATAAGTAAATGCAAGTACTTACAGTATATGACAAAAGTATTACACAGGTGAAAAAAAATATATAACTTCCCCAAAACACAATAATATTACACTCTGTAAATTGGTACTTGTAGTCTAGCATTTTATGAATACAACACTCTATAGAGTATTAAATTCCTTTCAAAAATGAGTGAAAGCAGAGAAGAATACAAAAAAGGTCA